CATTGTCAACTTTACACATTCCAAAAATATTACCATGACTCCATGAACTCTTACGGTTTTACGGAACTTTTACCTTGAAGGTATGACTGCGAAGTTTGGAGTTTGAGGGCTGACTTGCTTCTCGTTGTTTGACTTTGACGAGTGCTTTGAGGTTTGACCAAGAGAGGGGATGGATGGATGGTGGAGAGTCTGGAGACTACTCACTGTAAAGACACCAGACATGTTGATTGTGGCCAAGGTATTTGTATTTTCTGTGGAGAAGAAACCAGCCGTTCCCAACCACTCCATGTACCTGGTTTGGTTGGCATGCAAACCCCTTGGGCTTGACTCAATGCGGCCACTTGGTTGGAGGCATGTCTGGGTACACCAGGTCATCATCATGGTAGTATGTGTTGTACTAACCATGTTGGGGTGGGCTGAAATCCGCATCTGCGGGCTTCAGTTTCCTCCCAGCTCACTTTGCCCTTGTGGTAGGCGTTCTGATTTCCAATCAGCGGGTTGCAGGACCGATGACTGGAGGGAGCAATTGCGAATTACAGATGTTGGATTTCGCGCTTGGAGAGCAAAGCTTGACATTAACCAATGACCTGTGACTCTGAGGTTCAACCAAGAGAGGGGGTGGATGGATGGTGGAGAGTCTGGTGGAGACTACTCACTGTAAAGGCACCAGACATGTTGATTGTGGCCAAGGTATTTGTATTTCCTGTCGAGAAGAAACCGGCTGTTCCCAACCACTCCAGAGCAAGAACCTGCGAGACGAAATGGGGAAAAAAAAAACAATAAAAAAGCATTAATTTAGGAGATTACCGTACGGTGAAGGTGAAAAACTTAATTGTCTGGTCTTGAAAGTCCCCAGCAGGCAGGAAGGATAATTATTAATTACTAATTAGCAAATAAATCATGAGGCAGCATTTGTTCTTTTTATGCAAGCAAGTACATCACACCAAGGTAACTTTTTCCCCCCCTTAAACCAAAAAAAAAGGTTGTTGATGCTACTTATGCCTATGAACTTTTTTTTTTTTTTTTTTTTTTTTTTTTTTTTTTTTTTTTGTAGAAACGAGGCCTTAACTTATGCCTACTATGAACTCTCTCTCAGGACTGTCAAATTGATAGTGCGAACGAGATCAGGATGTGTTTATGAACAGCTACCATATTCCCCTGAATAGAACGCACGGTCATAATAGCTGAATTTGAAGCAACTTTCAGTCCAAATACAGAGACAATGACCGTGAGTAAGCCTTCTACTCGGGGGGTGAAGATGGTAGACTAAGTTACATGTGAGTAATACTGGTGTGGACAATCAGCCACAAGACAGGTACTATCGAACTATATGCCAATACCTCACTAGTTGGACAATGGTGGAAGTATGAGGGCATACTCACACCAGGACTTTTTTTACTAACCCCTAGACGTGATTGAGGTCAGATGCATCCAATTCCAGCCGTAGTTGTGGTCAGATGCAGTGTGACTGTGTGAGTACGCCCTGAGTATGCTTTTGAAGTTCAGATTACTCTACTCAGAAGCATGGCCTTCCAGTGTTTGGATTTTTTGAAGCCTGTTTCACTCCATCTGTGCAACAAAGGCAAAAAAAGTTTGGAAAAGGCCCAAAAGGGTTGTCATGGTAAGAGCTACACAGTAAGGTTGGCTGGTTTTGGGGTTACCGTATTGAAATCTGAGACTTGAATAAAGTGACCGATCTCAAGAAAGCTGTGAGGTTCTGAAGTAAAATTTTGACGAACTTCAAGAGAAAAGCGTAGAAGTAAGTCCTTGCTCTTTCAAAAGAAGAAGCAAAAACAAAAGAAAAAAAAGGGAAAAGAAGTTTAAAGAACAAAAAAGAAGAAGAAGAAGAAGAAGAAGAAGTACCAGCACACGTTGTTCCAAAGACTGCGTCCATTGTTGGCCCTTTGCACGATCTGGAAATTTGTGGAAAATAGATTGAGCCTCCCCGAAGGTGCTGGTGGTGTCTGCTCCTATCAGCACCAGCAACCACTCGGGTTGTTCATTTAAAAAAAAAAAAAAAAAAAAAAAAAAAAAAGGAGGTGCACAGCGGTCGTGCAGGGAAGACAGCAACCAGCGGAGCAGGCATGGGAGCAGCTCTTGACGTCGCTAGAAGCGGAGTACTGGGTGGGCTGGAGAAGGATAGACAGATTCCAGGGAGCAGGATGAAACACACTGGAAAATTCCAGTTGCCGCCGAACTTGCCGGAGATTTGAAAATTCCCATCGACTGCTAAGAAAAAAAAAAAAAAAAAAAAAAAATCCCATCGACTGTCGCATGCTCAGTGAACCCAGTACTCACGCTAGAAGCGGATGGCAAAACATTCAGACAAAGGGCCAAAACAGATCGGGCGGGAATCTTCCGTCAAAGTTCAAACTGCTAGGAGAGGGGTGGATCGACAGATTGACGGGAGACAGGCTCTGCCTCAGTTGGTCAAGCCTGAATCTGGACGTGTTTGTGGAGACGATAGTAGTTACGTGTTTGTGGATCCACAAGCACGTCCAGATTCAGGCTTGACCACCAAAGGACTCAAGGAGGCGTTGATAGTAGTTAAGAGTTGCTCGAGCAGTGGGAAAGTGGGCCCCTGCACAGGGCCAGGGGCAAGTCCCACTAGCAGCATTGAGCTACCTCAACGCCTGAATCTGGACGCGTTTGTGGAGACGTGCAGTTCAGGAAACTCAACACCATTTCTGCACATCTCCGCAAAAGCGTCCACATTCAGACGTTGAGGTAGCTCAACGCTGCTAGTGGGACTTGGCCCCAGGGGAGTGGGAAGGGGACGACGAGTCTCAGAGGAGTCGCACACCGGTCGACGCCCCTCCCTGATTCCTGTGGTAGGACTGCCGCCCTGGGGTATACCCAGGGTTCGTGTTGTGTGGCACTGAGACAGGGACTGGCATTAGCGACAGAGACACACTTCACCCGCTACAGGAGGTGGGATAGGCAAATGGAGAAGACCGAATTGTTGCGGTGTGAGGCTCGGAGACGGAGATCAGGGAGGCATAGACTGGACTGCGGACAGAGTATTTATTGTACCGGATTATTGTATCTGTGGGATGCTATGCTGGACCCGGTTTCCAGCAGGTGCAGGTCCCCACCAATAGACAGGAGCAGCCAGGGAGGCCTGCTACGATTCTTTTTTTTTTTTTTTTTTCCGGAAAGAGGATAATTCTAAAAGGAAAGGAAAAAGCAACTTACTATTTCCCATTCTCGCCGCCGTCTACAGCTGTCGTTTTCCACGTACTGGAGATACGCCAGAAGCTGAAGCAGCATTAGCAAAACAACCCCTGCATTCGTTTCCGTCTGCAGCAGGAGCTGAATCAAGCAAGTGATGCCCATGCACACCCAGCCGATACGTTCCAGGCCTCGAAGGCTAGCTCTAGCTACTGTCACTGCCACTGCTGCGTCGGTTTGCCGGGTGGAAGTATGATCAGAGTTTGTTGGCATCTCATAATTCTCATTCCCTTTCCCTTCGCTGAATGACTCTCCAGAGTCTCCACTTGTCAGCATAATTTCCGTCTTCTCTCCGGGACCACCACAACTTCCACAAGCAGCTGCACACCCTACACTGAGTCTCTCCGCAGCATAACGATTGTTCTCTTGAAGATTCCGCAAATTGAATGCCATAAGGTTCTTGCTCTTCGTGTTTCCGAGTGCTGTGCTTGTCAGCCCCTTCGCATCTCGGACGTAATCGCTACACTCATGTGCCTCTCTCCCTCCCTCTCTTCTGCAAGACCAGGAGGCATCGAAGAAAGCTAGGCCCATGAGAACTGCTAGCAGTGCGTAGGTGGCCCCCGCCACAGTTCCAGGTTCCACATTGAACTCGATGGGCCCAACAAGTAGAGGAGGGGAACCTTTCCCAGACCCCAAGGAAGTACCATTCCCGATGACTGCCAATCGCTTGTCCATGGCATGGTAGACCCAGATAGTCCCACCTGCTGCAGCTACTCCCACCACAAAAACTCCGGTGCGAGCACGATCCCATGCCCGGTCGATTAACCTCCTCGACCCTGATACCTGCTTTGGGTGGTGTCTCTTGTCCTCTTCTTGCTGTGGGAACCGGAAGAAAACCGCCACACACATTATCAAAGTAACTACCCCGATCACTACCCCTCTTATCATAGTACAAACTTGTTTCGCATCTATGTCCTTCTCAAGCAACTTGGCAATATCTGGCTGATTCGCGAAGTTGACCCCTCCTCGATGCCAGCCCCTTAGAATCCTACTAGCGACCAAGCCGGCCATCACAGCTGCTAAAAGTATGGAAAGCGGTAGCCGATCGCTGCGATCAGACACAGTCTGATTCATACCTAAGGCGTTGTCATCCGTAGTCTGTGCGCCCATCTGTATCTCAATTTGACATTTGGCCCTGTACGAAGCACTGGAAGCACTTCCTGTCCCCCGGAGTTTCGTGATCCGATCCCCCAAGTTAAACTGCAATCCATCGTCGCTCTTACCATGTGATCCTTCTTCCCCCTCTGACCCATCTGCACTCACTCCGCTTATGATGACAAATGGATCCCTCAAGTCGCCACGGTGGTCGTTCCCACGATCCTTTCCCCAAGTTGTGCAGCTGATTGTCGAACGGAGATAGACGAACCAAAGTGTTGCAACGAAGAAGTACCAGGTATGATTCTCTTCTTCGATAAATGACGTGGAGGTGAAACTCAGAGAATGTAACACAGTCAGCGTAGCGAATACCGATGGCTCGAACCCGCCCAAAAAACTTCCGAAAAACGAAAATTTTCTGCAGATTCTGAACAGTACTCTCCATCCCTGCTGCATGAACATCAAGCTTGATGTCTCAATACCTTTCCCTCTTTTTCGCTTTTGCAGCATCTGATGCGATGGCTTCCCAACAGAAGAAGACTGATAGCCATTGCGAAATTGATAGAGCGGGTGTTTCCTACGCTTTCTCATCTTCGCGTGAGAGGATTTCTGAGACTCCAAACCATTCTGGCACAGGGTCGCATGAAGTCCGTCCGACTCGTCGTCGTGATGATCTTCGCTGTCCGATCTTGCAGGATCGGAGGGGTCCGTTTCCCCCCAGTGCCTTCGATCCCGCTTCCTCCGAAGTTCGAAGCGCCTGACAGTGTGTGTGCTGATGGCTCCACTGCCGAGGGCAGAGACGGCAGTGGTGGCATCACTGGCATGCTGTGAGCCTATGTCAACGTCTTGAGAGCACGAAGGAAGAGCATGTTCCACACCAGGCAAGCATGTTTTGCCAAAGAGCATGACAAGACCGATTGCAGAGAGTGAGAGTAGCCCGATTCCTGCTATCACAAGCAACAAGCTCCCCTGGGGAGGATGGGGGTTTAGGAATTAGGATAGGATTCAGGGGGAAAAAAACTTTGTCAGCAACTCAGGCATAGTCCTTTTTTTTTTCCATAAAGAAAGTTAACCCATTCAAACTACTTCCAGCTGGATTTGAATTTTGAACCTGCATTTTCAAACAGATCATGGGTGTACCAACTGAGCTACCGTCTTCACCGGAATAGAACGCCCCGGTCATTATCGCCGTATCGAGACCGAAAGTTGCACCAAATGCAGCTATAATGACCGGGCGTTCTATTCGGGTGAGGAAGGTAGGACTATAATTTTCGGTCCTGCAGGCATTATGACAGTAATTTTACGGCCATCTTTTGAGTCAATAGATATTTCATAACCACCCTTTTCTTTTCTAATAATCGGTACTACTTGTCCTTCAGCAGAAGAACCGTAAATTGTTTGTTCGTTTGTTTGTTTGTTTGTTTGTTTGTGCTAATGTGAGTATGCTCTTAGTGCTTTGCCTTACCTAGGTACCAGCATGTATCTCACCCATGACCGAGGGTCGGTACATTTGGCATCAGGGCGGATCATAGGTATGTCTCAAGCATCATCCTTTTTTCCACTTAGAGCAAAGAGGCAGGGGGGAAGACTCCAAGAGGCAACTGAGTATCAACCTCAAGAACCAGGGTTGTTGGGAGAGTAGGCCGGCTGCAGTTCTACTTTCACCCACTAGTAAATCACTCCACACTGTCCACATGTATTTTAAGCATGTGCATGTGCCATCACTCCACACATATTTCTCCATCATCATCGGTTTCCGATATACGAAGTTCTTTGGCATTTTTCTTGCTTGCTATAATTACGACTTTCGTTTCTGCATCCTGAATCAAAACAATACTGCTATCCTCATCAGACTGACAGAATCCGATTACATTGCATGAGGAAAAAAAAAAAAAAAAAAAAAAAAAAAAGACAGACAGACGACGACGACACAGATGCTTTACCTCGGAACCTGCCCGAGAAAGGACTTCAGATGCCGATTTCAGGTATTCCATATATGCCTCCTCAGCCTCCTTCCACAATCTTTCCACGTCTTCACTGTTGAAAGGATCAACAACAAACATCAGAGAAATGAATAGAGCAGAATCTGAGCAGAAAGCAGGCTGGCTACGTCGCTGCTAAAGCCCTTCCCAATGATTCCATGAATGAAATACCCCTCCCTCTTTCCATCAGAAGAGCTTGTTTGAGTTCATCCCCCACCCAAGAATTATTGTATCAATATATAAAAACAACAACAACAACAAACAGCAACAACAACAATAACAGTAGTAGTTATGCCCACAGACTCTACATAGTACACACGACGCTGTCGGCTCTACACTCTCAGACTCTCTAGTTGCCTGCCTGTGACTGGCAGGCAGATTTTCCTTCCTGTCAGTGTCACTTTGCCAATGAAGGGGAAGGGGAAGGGGAAGGGGAAGGGGAAGGGGAAGGGGGTTAGGAAAAGTAGCTGATTGTAAAATGGGAAAAAGGTTTAAAAGGTTCAAAAAAAACAAATGCAGTTGCAGTGTGTTGCACAGAGCAGTAAGTTCTACGCAACTCATCAAGCAGCTGATTGTACATGATTCACCGTTTAGTGGAGAGTTCAGCGAATGATGGTTTTTTTTTTCTTTTTTGTTTTCCGAAGGAATATCTGCAAACTCAAGTTACTCAAGGAATTATCAGCACCAAGACTCAACTCTTCCAGCCTCCACAAATCTATCGTCTTCGCCTGAATAGTTGGTTTCGAGCATAAGTGGCATTCAGGAGTGGTTGGTTTCGCGGCCGAAAAGTTGGTTTTGCGCACAAGTGGCATTCGCCATGGCTGCCTGAGACATGGTTGGTGTTCACCAGCTGAGATAGTTGGCTTGCCCCCCCCTCCCTCCCCCCCCCAAAGTCGGTCTTGGAGGGTCTTGAGGTCGCTTAGAGGCCCTCGCCCCCTGCCATTCCTAACTGGGGGTTAGTCATCAGGTTTTGTAGATCTCGGGTATTCCTTCAACCCGGTCGATCTTGTGTTGCATACTCGTGAAACATAGTCATAAGTATGGAGCAGATTCCCAGAACCGACCAGATAATACAGAGTAAGTACAAGTACAGCGGAAGACTTGATACACATGGACTGACTCAGACCTGACTCAGACTGCAACGAAACACTCACAACATGCATCGGTGGTGTGAAGCCCTGGCTTTGGACATGGAAGAAAAGGCCAGGGTCTGATCTCATACACGGATGGATGGAGGGGAGGAGAGACGAAAGAAAGGAGGAGAGGGAAGATGACGTCAACACCATGTCTCCAAAAATAGTATCTCGAATGTCATAAGTAGCGCAAATCCGAAATGTCGCGAATACAGAGTCTCACAGTGTCCCGGATATCAATCTCCCAATATCAAGATACATTCCAGAAATAGATGAAGTCAGATCCCAGAAGTAGTCCTCAACCGAAGTCTCAATGTCGCTATCTCAGCTATCATCAGAACTCGTAACCATCCTTCGTATTCATAGTAGTCCAGTAGGAGTAACCCAAGAGTAGACTTAGACTTGGAGGGTAGGAGAAGAGAGAGAGAGAGAGAGAGAGAGAGAGAGAGAGAGAGAGAGAGAGAGAGAGAGAGAGAGAGAGAGAGAGAGAGAGAGAGAGAGAGAGA